ATGACAGTTCACACAGGCTAATACTGAATGTAAACTAAAAATTAGAATAAGAATTGTTGTAGTCAATTTCTTTTTGGCTGTAATTTATGCAATTGCTTTTTGTGATTTTTAGAAAAGAGGGCACCTGTGTTACTTTATTACTGTAAAATTTTCTTAACCAAAATTTGGTGAATTTCACTAGTCAGTCTACCTCACATTTCATTTATGATTCTAAATTGTCTTAAGTTGTGTCTACAGTATGTTCTTGTCCTTTCATTTAATTTGGTGAATGTATTAAAATTTTCTCCAACACCCCAGCTCCCAAAAGTTTCTTTTCTTTAAATTGTTATGTTAAAAAACAGAAATGAACGCCTTCATTATGGCAATGTCCAAAAGAGGCTGAAAGTTCCCATATCATAAACTAAATGACTTTTTTAAAAAGAATTAATTTTTAATCTTATTTAATAATTCATTTATTTTAGTTTGACCAGAGAGAGACAGAAAGAGAGAGAAAGAGAGAAAGTGAAAAAGCAAGTCATCAGGTCTAGGACTCATACCGTGCTCGGCCATAAAGGGTTGTCCAGTGCCTTAACCACCACGCCACCTGCTGGTCCCCAGACTTTTAAGAATCTACTGTCTTGGACCAGCAGCTGGCATAATGGCTATGTCGCTGGACTCGCATGTAGTCGACAGTGGTTTGAGTCCCGGACCCAGTGGCTTAAAATCATACCAGGTTTGTGTCCATGCATGCTCAAGATCCCAAGAGGAGAATGGAAGAGAAGGGATTGCGGCATGGCCATCCCCATGGGGGGTGATTTCTTGCTTTCTGTCTCTCTGTCTCTGTCTGTTTGGGGAGCGCCCGGGCCCTATAGCAAAAACCTTTCCAAAAAAAAAAAAAGACGAGTCTACTGTCTTGGGACCAGCAAATGGCAAAATGGTTACGTCACAGGACTCCCACACGGTCACCCATGATTTGAGTCTTGGACCTGGCAGCTTCAAACTCATGCCAGGTGCATGTGCGTGTGTGCCCCAAATCCTGAGAATGGTGGAGAAGGGACTGCAGTGTAGCCATCCTGCCCTATCCTCGGGAGAGATTTCTCACTTTCTGTTTCTGTCTTCTCCAGTGAGCGCACATGCACTAAAGCAAAAATCTAAAGAAAAAAGTCTACTGTCTCTAGCATAACAGTACAAGGAAGTGCTAAATAAACATTTGAATGGAAAGCTATAGCATTCACCAAGCAGACACATATACACATAAAATAACTACAGACTATTTGCAAACTGTCACATAATTATAGGTGATAGATCCAGAAATGACTAAAGACATAATTAAAATATTCAAGGCCAGCAGGTGGCATGGTGGTTAAGGCACTGGCTCCTACATGGCTGACTTTACAGTTCAAGTCCCGGACCCAGTGGCTTGAAAATTACACTGACGCATGTGTATGCATGCTTAAAATCCCACAAGCACCCAAAATCTGGAGAACAGAGAAGGGACTGTAATGTGGCTATCTTCCCTGGGGCCTGTTTTCTCACTTTCCCTCTGTCTCTCTCCAGCAAGTACATGTGCCATATGGCAATCAATCAATATAATATTCATTTTATTGAATATAAAATGTTTCATTTTATAGATAGCTGCATGTCCTTCTTGGAATATTAGACAACATGTTATTTTTAATCTCCATTTCTAAATTCTGCCTAATTTTAACTCCTTCTGAGAAATAACTTTCTTGTCCGGGAAAAATGCCTTTCAGTTCTATTAAACAGAGTTATAGTATAATAGAATTTGACACAGAACCCATGAAAACATTCTTCTAGATCAAAGGCACCTGGTTGTTACATGCAAAAGAGAAATAAATATTTGTATTATGATCAATTCAGGGGAAAACAGAGTGTTCCACTACATATTCCAAAGCAGCTGCCTTAAAAGACTCTTAACGGGAACCAGCAGTTAGCGTAATGGCTATGTCGCTGGACTCCCACGTAGTCAAGCGCGGTTCGCGTCCCGGACCCGGTGGCTTAAAACTCACGCCGGCGGCATGTGCGTGGG